TTCGGAGATGATCATGTAATGTGTCACTTCTCGCAAATTTCTTGTTGCAGACTGTACACTCAAAGGGTTTTTCTCCTGTGTGCGTTCGGAGATGAACTTGCAAAGACGGACAGCTAGAAAATTTCTTGAGGCAGACAGTGCAATCAAAAAGCTCCGTTCTTGCGTGCATTTTTATGTGAGCCACGTGCCTGGATTGAGTAGAAATTTCTTCTAAGCAAACAGCACATTGGTAGGGCATTGTCGAAATATAACCAAGGGAGCCCCGCAAAAAGTTTCTGAAAAAAAGAAAAAATATCGTCGTTAACAAACCAGGGAATGTACAGTACTGTTGTGGTCTGCTTTTGCACAGTTGAGTACAATGTTTAAGTAATACAGTTCACACAGATCTGGCGGCCGTCTTCCGGAGCGCAGCGGGGTGGCGGCCTGCGCTCAGGTGCCGAACCACGCCGCTGGGGTAGGGTGACCCACTTGTTAAACGGAGCAAAAGTAACAAGGTAGACGCACGTTAAAACCGTGTAAAGCTGAGCTAAAAGTGACAATCTCAACAACCCTCCGTGCCACAAAAAACGTTAAATCGCTTAGCGAGCAACAAACAGTCCAACTTTTAAGCGATAGTAGTATTTTGAAGCAAATATGAAAGATCTTCGTGGCCTTATGGGAGCGAATGGGAGGCCTCTGGTGGCTAAAGGACGGGTCAGTGTGGCGTGGGGAGATGTGTGTCTAGAGAGCTAAGGTGGTCGAGCGACCTTTCCTGGAAGCTTGATCCTCGACACAGTGGCGCCAAAAATGGTATAGATTTTGCAAAGTTTAGCCTTAATACTCTCATGGTTTGGCTAAAAACGTGTTTTTCCGCTTGCGCGACCACTAAAGTAAACTTTTAAAATTACAACATTCTAAATGCCAAAAGAAAACTATTTCTGTAGTGGCCCAAAACCAGCCAGCCCAAAACCCACACTACAGCACCTCGCGCAGCGCCCGCCCTCCGCTATGGAGAGCGAGGAGAGGGGAGGGGCATGGGTATTTTTCTTCTGGTAGAGACATGTCTCTGCAGTCTTGGGAACCGTCTAAAGGCAATAATAGTGCAATTGCAGCATCATGTTTAAACTGCACGCCATTCAACAAGGCAAAGGCATATCATCGAGTGCATCCGAAAACGAGTCTGTGCGAGGGACAGGGGGAGGTAGCACAAGAGCCGAGGAGAGGGTGCATAGGGCGCTGGCGGCGCCGTGATCACCAGATCAGCCGCCTCTGTCGGTGGTACTGAGATAAATGAAGCTAATATTGCAGGCGGCCAGGCCCAGCTCCAAGGCTCCCAAGCCTCTCCCGGCCCAGGCCGCGGGGCGCCGCGCTGTTGCACCGGCTGCACTCTCATCCCCCCACCTCCAACCCCACCCCGCCCTAAGTACAGTGCCAAACTTCAGTCGAAAGAGTGAAACCAGAGGTGAAACCACAGAATCTTCACACACGCACCTCCTCACACTGAATGATTCGCTCCTTCCCTTTTACTCTAACGCTGATATCACCTGCTCAGCCGTTCATTTTCGGTTTCGACTGTTGCTCTCTTTCATGATGCTCGCGTCATGCTTTTGCTCAGCTCTCTCCGCCCCCGCGACTTCCTCCCTTTCAGAAGCTCATCCGATCAGTGTCCGCGGTCCGCGGCCCCGTCCCTCTCCTCCCCCTCTGCTGCTCTCCACCAGCCTGGCGTCGCTGCTTTGGCTTCGGCGCCGTGTGTGATTTAATCAATTTCTACATCAATATTTTTCCAAACACGCACGCACGCTCGCACACACAGAGTCCTACCCCCTCGGCCCCGCTCTCCCTTTCTCTCCGCACGCACACACACACACACACACACAGAGTCGCCCTGGGCGGCGCCGGTCGGGTCAGCCGCATGTCTGCCTCCCTCGGCAGGCCCTCGATGGACTTCTAGAGGCGCCGCGTCCCTCCCTTCCTCCCCCACACGCACACACACACACTAACATACACACACACACGACGCAGCTCGGGGCGCCCCGCCAACTAACCCCCTGCGAAAAACTGGCGCCACCCCCCGCTGGGGGTCCGCTGCGCTGGCGGCCCGGGGCCCGGCGGCGGTCACAATATAATTAATAGTGGACGGACAGAGGGGGGCGGGGCGCGCGGGGCGCACGGAGCGCGCAGAGGGGCGCCGGGGCCAGGGCCGTATGCTGCCCAGTGGAGTGCGGTGACGTCAGGCCGTCGATGAAGAAGTGGAGGGCCCCCGGGGCGCGCGGCCCATGCGGCGATGGTCGTAGGGCAGTGAGTCGGCGCGGCGGGGAGAGAGACTCGGGGCGCCCCGGCCTGCTTCTGCTTTATTGTTATTATTCCCTTGTTCTTCCGAGCAAAGCGAGATTTGAAAAATGTACATTGCGGCCCTATACGAGGAAAGGAATAGTTCGTACCAAACTCGCACTTTCGGGTCGGTACTTAAGTGGCCTACTATAAACTTAGACGGCGTAATAACGCGTGATAATGACGCATGACGGTAGACATTGATTGTAAAAGCTCGGAGAGAACAAATAATACGAAATAATACCATGTAACATAATGAACAACTGCGGTAAAATGGTGTGTATAGTAAATTGTACTAACTCGTACACAATCCTTTGAAAGGGATTTCCCACATACTGTGGGGTGCGCGAATACCCTCTGTCCAACGCGGAGTGGGGCGGGGCGGGGTGAGGCGGGGTGAGGCGGGGCGCCGGGAGGCGATAAGAGCGCCGTTATCGCCCGCCGCTTGTTACAAATGTGCGGAGAGATTGAAATCCCCCGATCCGAATTCGGCGGATTGCCGTAGTGACGGACGCGCGGGCCGGCAGCGGCAGCGGTATGGTATGGCGGCCCCCGCCCTCTCTCCCTCTGTCTCTCTCCCTCCCTCGGCCAGGTGCGAGCGGGGCGACAGAGAGCGCAGAGCCCCACATGGGGCCCACCCCGGCCGAGACGACAAGTTTACTGCGGCGCACGTCTTCGCCTGCCCCACTTTAATGGCCCATTCCAACGCCCGGGAAATCCCCCGTCAAGTGGGCGGGTTGGGCCGCCTCGCCATGCGCACTGGTCCTCTGGGACCCCCCTGGGACCCCTCTGGGACCCGACGGGACCCAACGGGGACACCCCAAGAGGACATTCCAGGACCCCCCGTCGCGACACACACGCCGGGAGCTGCATCTCCAATCTTTATGACGACGGATGCGTGGCGTAACAATCTGTCAGAGTGGTTCTTCTGGTCGCTGCTGAGCGGCAGGTTTCGCGCAGGGGCTCACAGTCTGTAGACACGGCCCCCCGCACTGGCGACCCAAACTCGTTCGCGACGGAAACGCGACGTTCCCCAGCTGCCGCCGCGCGGACCAGCAGTACGGCAACGAGCCTGCTCCCTCTTTTTCTCCTCCTTCCCTCACGTCATTTTCTTTTCATCATCCTCTTTGAGCGGCCGAGATTGTGTCTTTTGTCAACGTCGCCTCGTTGTAAAGGAACTATACCGGGCGCCGCGAGTCCGGCCGGCGCTGCGCTGCTGCGGCCGCTCGCGCTGCGGGCGCCTGCGGGTGGGCCGGCCCGCAGCGCTCGCCCGTGCGGCGGGCCGGCCCACCCAGCCGGGCGCTCCATCCAGCTGCCCGGTACCTTTCACTCCCCAGCGCCACGGTAGCCGCAGCGGGGTTCGTGGAGCATGCGAGGACGAGCGAGATGGGGGAGAGGGATGGATAAATACTGTAGAAGAATGCGTGGCCACAAGGAGCGAACAGAGCGGGAAAGTTCGAAAGGGCCGATTTAATTAAAGGTTTGTGGCGGCGCCCAGCGGCCGCAGCTGTTCGGTGGGCTTTACACTGTCTAGGAATCAAAAGGCAGAGAACAGTTCCGTCATTACTTAGTCTCATGGCCTTTCAGCTCTCGCTTCAGCCTCAAGGTGTGCACACTAAGAATTTCACTTTGTTATCGACTACCCATTTTACCTTACCTTACGCACGCACACGAACGGATATTAAAAACTTAAAACAAGGGCAGTGAATAAAAAGCTAGACAATATATGTAATTAGATGAAACAGGCATTTTATTCAACGTCTCTTTTCAAATATACGAATTCACTTGTATTACTACGTAATTCAAACAAAATTCAATCGTTATTTACAACCAACCAATGCAAACACATCAGGGAGAATGCAAGTCTAGAGGGATAATACATAATTCAAACAAATTCAATCGTTATTTAACCAACCAACCAATGCAATCACATCAAGGAGAATGCAAGTCATACAACTATGCACATACGTAACATAAGCATTATTTTAAAAGTATAGGACAACGAAAAAAAATTTCAATCAAGAACATGGTAAACTCATTTTGGTAAGCCCGAGGATAAGCCAATGGCTAGGCAGCACTCCAAACTCAACGGCTTATTTAGCGAGTACGAATATGATTACGTGGGTTGCGACAGTGAAAGCCTTAGCACACAGGGTGCACTTGAACGGCTTCTCTCCTGTGTGGGTGCGGAGATGTGATCAAAGAGAACTAGATTCTGAGAATGTTTTGGAACAGACACTGGACTTGAACGGCTTCTCTCCTGTGTGGGTGCAAAGATGTCTCCGAAGATGCGAAGACTGCCTGAACGCCTTAGAACAAAGGGTGCACTTGAACAGCTTTTCTCCTGTGTGGGTGCAAAGATGTGACCGAAGATGGGCAGACTGCCTGAACGCCTTAGTACACATGGTGCACTTGAACGGCTTCTCTACTGTGTGGGTGCGAAGATGTGTCCGAAGAGTACAAGATACTGAGAATGTTTTGGAACAGACAATGCACTTGAACGGCTTCTCTCCTGTGTGGCTGCGAAGATGTGACTGAAGACTACCAGAT